TTTCGTCGAACTCACCCGCGAAACTGCTTACGTTGCAATAACAAAACAATGGCGGACAAGATTTAGCCGATAAACCTAAACTTTAAAGAACTTTTTTCGATGACTAACCTACTGAGACTGAGGGAAAAAATGCAATAAAGCAATGAAAATGCAATAATGAAAAAATGCAATAATGCAAGGAAAAAATGCAATAATGCAAGGAAAAAATGCAATAATGCAAGGGAAAAAATGCAATAAAGGTAATCTAGACGTAGATAAAGAAGTATTAAGACTAGAGCCCAGTGATTTTTTTTGGCCGAGAAAATGTTGACAAAACATCGACGAATATATCGCAAAGAGCTACAATGTGTACGTATTGTCGTATGGCTCGGTGTATGGGATAAAAACCAAACATACTTGCAGGTTCGGTGAGTCCGGGATTGGACGCACCTCGGGTGGCTGGAAGTTTCCCGACGTATGTTTAGGAAGGGGGTATGTTTCTGAGGAAGGGGGTTCGAGATCGATGTTTCGGCGGCGGCCATTATGAAGCGATTTGAACAAATTTCAGACGAAAAGTTTAAAATAAAAAATAAAATAACTGTTTTTGATTGTTTTATAATTATTTTTTATTTTGTTGGAAGAAAATAGAATATTCTATATTCAAAGTGCAAAAGAAGAAAGATAGCCGACGAAATTTGTTCGGCACGGGCAGGTTTATATAAATCTTGGCAATTAGTCTAGGACCTGTATATGAGTTTGTATGCGATTCATTTAGGACTGTAGGTAATCTCACCTGTTTTAGGGTAAAATGACCATGGCGATCAACATGGAATATGTGCGAAAACCTGAATCCGGGACGAAAGTCCTGAAAATGACCCCGCCCTGAAACGGCAGTGTCGACATAGCTCTAATTTCCGAAAAGGAAAAGCGACAGCCTTTCTGAAGTGCTTATGGTGTTCAGAAGGGTTGATTTTAGGGGTGGTCATTGGAAGGAAAAATTTGTCTAAGTATAATATTTTACCAGAAAATGCTATGCACCACCCCAGGTAAATTGCTGATTATGTACAAAATAACTAATATGCCTGGCAGAAATTAAGTTTTCTTATTTCCTAAAAAAAATTATCATGGGATGAAAAACTATGCTTAGTTCAATATAATTATTGTGGATTTCATAAGGATTGTCATTGTTTTCTTTTAATATAACACATTTTATTTCACTTACCCCCCACGAAAACACGATTTCAGCCATACTTTGCCGTCTTGTTTGCTTTTTATCGCCGAGTCTCGCAAATATCATCCAGTTGTTGTACTTTTACATAATCATAAAGGGCTAAAGAATATTTCAACCAAGTTTCGTGAAGTTTGTGTCCTTCGATATTTCGTCAAATTGCCGCCATTTTAATGGCTCGCCGCTTCTCTGTCCGATAAATGCCACTTCTTCGTTTTCATATGTATTTAGATTAAAGTATCCAAGAGTAGTTCATTGTAGAATAGTCCCAATCGAAAATTTGACAATATTTGTCCCATTTGGAAGGAAAAACCCTCCCGTATACCATTTAGGTTCAAAATAAAAAACAAATCATTTGAAAGTCACGGGCAATCTTCGCGAAAACTTCTCGTGGACACATGACAGGGGGGGTGGATATTTTCACGAAACGTTTGTTCGCCACCACAGAAACATAACTATATTGTATTTATTGTATTTTTATGATTTATGACAAAACTACGCAAATATTTATCATAAAAATACAATAAATACAATATATTTAGTTATGTTTCTGTGGT